ATGCAGGATATTATGTACAATAAAAAAAGTGTTGTTTTAAAAAGTGGCAATCAGAAACAGTGTTAATAGTAGTGCAGGTTATTCAGTCTTAATACAGTGACTTAAAGTTACTTGTTGTACAGTCTGACAGTAGTGGGGATGAAGGCCCTGCGGTAGCGCTTCTTCTTACACTGAGGGTGTCTCACTCTTCCACTGAAGAAACTCCTCAGCTCCTCTATAGTCCTGTGCAGTGGAGCTTAGTAGACTTTTTCACCCAGATGCCTCAGACTTGTGACTTGTGGTGAGGAGAAAGTTTGAGTGAAGGGGAGAATTCCCACATGAGTGCACTTTTAGAACTGTAGTCACTAATTATGTCGGACTATGTAGTGGATTAGGGTATAGGGTGGACATTTTGAGAGATGTCACACTTACCAACTTTGTGTTTGGTGGGTGCCCATAAGCATTCGTGGCTGAGTCTGGGGTCTTGGTGGGCCTCAGCTCTAGACACGTATAAATAGCCTCAGATCCCTGAATAGAGCTGGAGCGGGATAATGGCAAAGAAAGAGGATCTACAGTGAGCCGCAAGCAGAACTCTTCCTGACAAGTCTCCATGGCAACCACAGTCAGGAGGAGGTGTTTGTCTTCTCCCACTCACAAACTGGACTCAAACACACCACAATGCTCTTACTGTCATGTCATACCTCAGCACCATGAACACTTATCAACAATAGTCATTGTTGTGTGGTTAGTTCTGTGGATCAAGTGTGACGAAAATATACAGCCATAAGCTCAACACGATCATATTAAAGAACTATTATGATGCATTGTTTTGACCCCTACATTATCTTAAAATATTTACTTTTGGCATAGGAATGTGTAATTCACTGATTAACTCAAAGTTGCAATTGCTTTCACTCTGCAGCTCCTCACTTTATTGTTCATTTTTGGAATTGAATGCAGAGACTGGAGTTATTGAGGTCCCATTGGCAGCCGGGCTTCGCACATTACTGAGTTTCTTTACTGTACAATTCTTATTACAATCATAATAACGCCATGACTCCGGCCACAAGAGAGAAATGCAAGTACAAGAGAAAGTACAACTGGGAATGTGCTCATAATCAGAGTAAAATTATGACCCTTTCTTTGCCCATTCTCTGAGATTGAGGTTTGTGAGAGGCCCTCTGAACTCTCGCTCTCACTCAGGAGGAGAAATCTGTATCAGTGTTTAGGGAAATGGTCACAGTTAGAGCAGTGACATCATTATGCATGATCACTCCCTCTGAGATGCTTTAGTTCTACACACACATGTGCATGTGTGTGCACGTGTGTGAGTGTGTTTGCTTAGAGAGGCCGTCCGACATATAAAGGCCTCTTTGGGACAAATGAGCACATATTCAATAGACTTTTTCTACATACAATAAAAAATTATTGGCAACTTTAAATAACATTAGGCTATAAAATCGCTGCAGAGTTAGTGTTTTTTTGTCTAATGACTAAAAGCTAAGGGGAAATTAGCAGAGTTTTAAAACAAACGTGAATGTGGAATTATAAATTAAATAAATGGCAATATTGGCAGTTTGTCTTATTTAATTTTGTTTAAACATAAAATCATGAATCCATCATAATCATACATGAGTTTCAAATAACACTTTCACCAAATTCAATGGGGAAGCCGATTGTTTTGATTGTTTCACCATCTCATGGTGAAACGATTACTACTTTATTTTTTTAAATATTCAAAGATTATCACATTTCACTTTAATCAACGGGGCCATTACACAGTATTGGACCATTCAACAACACCGGACTTTTCAACAGATGTTTATCTTTCCACAGTTTCAAACTTCACCACAATACTTTTCCTCAAATGTGTACTTCTCAGTTAAGTACTTTTCAGCAGATTTTTCCATTCAACAAACTTCCGTTCAGTTCAGTTATGCCTTATTTTCCCAGTAGATCCCAGTTGTTTTCTTCATTTGACCCAGTCCTTCATAAGAACAGTTTCTTTCCTTCTGCTGTTGGACCCTTGAACACGGGGCGTTACAGCATGTACGCCTTATACGCGCAGCAGACGAGCGTAACATTTTTCCATGTTAACCTATGATGATATTTACACTACTAGTGTCATACACGCGTATGACTGATGTATTGACGCGAGGCTGCGCCTAATTTAGGATGGATTTCTAATTATGTGTGCGCAGCAACGCGTCTCCCATTGAAAACACATGTGAAACAAGATTTTTCTAGCAGCCCTTGGCTTTAGATCACACACACACACACACACACACACACACACACACACACACACACACACACACACACACACACATACACATACACATACACACACACACACACATATATACACACACACACATATATACACACACACACATATATACATATACACATATATACACATATACACATATATACACATATACACATACACATATACACATACACACACAGCTGTATCTAAACATCAGCAAGAGGACTGGCAGGTTTTACAGTGATTCTGGACATTGTTTTTTGTTCTTTCATAAAGTCTCGCGGCTGGCCAAACCAGCGCACAGAGACCATGAAGACAAACACATGCATGTGATTTGTGTTGCTCTACATCAGTCCTCTGGCCCGCACTGTCCTCTACACTGCTCCATAGACTACACAGGGAGAGCCTCAGAAGCCTCAGACCTGCGCGCACGGCCAGTGTACATACAGCCAAATAATGTTACGTGCAGATGTGCGCAGTCAACGCGTACGCGCTGTTAATGCCTACAGTGTAAATTCCCTGATAACCTGTCCCCCCGTCATTTTTAAAGTCACCTTATAGCCCTTTTTAAAGTCACTTTACTGCCCATCATAACGTCATTTTTCTGCTGTCACCTTATTGCACTGCTTACTGCATATTGTTTGCACCATGTGCACTCGTATAATGTATATAGTAATTGTAATTGTAATAATTTTATTTTAATCTTGATACCTTAGAAGTGTATGCTGAGTTTTATTATGCCTTACTCTATTCTTTTCCCCTCTTCGACTGTTGCACCGACCCAAAACAATTTCCTACTCTTACTGTTACTTTCATGGCAATAAAAATGTTTCTGATTCTGATTGGCATTAAGGCGTCTGTCAGATCCATCGGCAGATGTTGATGCTTTGTTTGGACCAGAGCTGGAATATTTAGATGTTTTTACTCTTTCGTAATCAGTGCTTTTCTGCACATTAAAGCTGGACTAACTCACTTTTTGACTTTGAAGTAGCAGTTTGAAATGTAAGCACTGCCCTCGCTCTCTGTGCTCCCCTAGTTCCCACACTCACAAAGCTATTGTATGAGAATAGTATTTCTATCAGTTCAGTCACTCAATGGAAAAGAGAAACAAACGTAGAGTGTTAAGATGAGAACTTGTTATTAGAGATCTTCAAGTTCCACTTTTATTCCCAGACGATCGTCTTTGAGAGGTGTCAGTTTTCTGATATTGGCATTAGTTCCTATTGTGCCAGCTCTCAGAACCACACATCACTTTTTATGCCTACTTAAATCCTGAAATTTGTGTCTGTGCGGTTTCATTTATTTTGGTGACTGGTCCAGGCTGATGATAACCTGTTTTTTTTCGTTCGTATTTTTGATCACCGGTTTTTGTTTAACTGAGATCTGAATCACAGACTGAATGAAAGATCTGGGCCTCTCGATGGAGATCTGAGTGCTTTTCGAGTTAAACATGAAAATGTAAACTTAAAGCTGCACTATGTTTTGAACATTATGACATCATGCCAGATTATTAGGCTATGACATTATGACTTTAAAAGTGGCCACTTTAAATTATGAGAACCAAATTGATTAACAATAATCTGGATTAATGTTTGCTTCATGGTTTGGCTCATAATCTGTTTGTGAGTGGAGGGCTCTTGGCCACAGAGTAATGTGAGAAGAAAACACTGATGTATTGTACCACACTTCTATAATTATCCCCCAGGCCGCCCTCTCTGAGCCCGGACCCCAGGACAGAGGAGTGTCACTCATACACTCACTCATCGCAAACAAAACAAACGCCACACCTTTTTGCTCTTTTACATCGGCCTCCATGACTGCAGAAAACTGCTTTAGATTTAGGGTAAATTATCTTAAACAGACTGGACTGCGAATTCAGGTATAGGTGCAGATTTGTTTTTTCATGTGAATGCTCAACAAGAAACCCCACCCCTGACCCCCACGGACACACTGATATTATGATCACAAAAATATGTACCACATTTTACCCGGGTGCTCCTTTTGAGAGTGTACAAAGGCACGAACCAAGCCGAGCTGCTCCGGATTGGAGCCCATGTGAAAAAGCCCCTAGTTTCTCTCCGTTTCCTGGGTGTCCTGGGTCTTCCCCAGGGTCTCCTCCTCGTGGGACATGCCCGGAACACTGATGGTGGGTTTTGTCCGACGTCCCCAGGGGAGACCCTACCAGGGCATGACGCTTTGTTTGTAATGAAATAATTAAATGAACTCAGCTTTACTGACACAAACGCATCCACCCACCTCTAGCAACTAAATGCTCTGTTTTCAAACTTGTTCTGCTGTGACTAATCTTCTGACGCTCTGTAGTAAAAATGGAAGCAGGTGTGTTGGTTCAATTCTGCCGCTCATGTGATCTCAGGCGTTGTAACTCTTAAGGAAGAACATTATTTTGTCATTTGTCAAACTAAAGGATTCTTTCCTTGTCGACCCGGTGAATGACTGAGAGTTGGGGACAACCGTCAAAGACAACTGAATATATTGTCCATCAAAGTCTTTCGTAGTACCCTGGATAGCAATATATGATATCCACACTAGATTGGAGTAAAAACTCCACAGTGTACAATTAAGAACGAGGTTCAGGCTAAGGCTAGACAAAGTCTGACCAAAGTTTAAATCTGGAATTAAACTGGGGTGAAGCTAGAACAAAACTAGGACAATTGTGGACAATTCAATGGTTGCTGTCTTGATTGTGATGGATCTTGCCGCCCTGTAACTGTGTGTGTCTGTGTCGCAGGAGTCCAAGACACCGTCCAGCCGCTCCAGCGTGGCCCGCTGCCGGAACTCGGGGGCTCCTGAGGGGGACCAGCCACACATCGGCAACTACCGACTGCTTAAGACCATTGGAAAAGGCAACTTTGCCAAGGTCAAGCTGGCTCGCCACGTGTTGACCGGTAAAGAGGTAAGCCCTGTCCACACTCTCAGATGGAACCATTTGTTTTGAAACTACTGAAGATTTGTAAAGTCGTCTCATCAGTCCTGTCCATGTGTTTTCATTTGTACTTTTATAAACGATGACGAACAAAAATAACATTGCCTCTTTGCTGCTCATGCACAGGGTACTGCAGATCCACTTAGAAATTATGTTTGTAACTTTTCAAGCGTTGCATGGTCAGGCTCCGTCTTAAAGGGTTGATCTAATCCAGCCCTACACCCCCGCCCGGGCTCGGATCAGTGTCGCCATGGCCCTTTAATATGTTTGTTTTATTGTCATTGTGACCCTGGTTTGTGAAAGGGGCTGTACAAATAAAGTGTACTTCAGTGACAAAATCAGATGGAGCACTCACACTTTCACAAAAAACAATTTGAAGGCCCCTGCTGTGTGTAGGGTGGAGGTGTGCGCTCTGTACACAGCTCAAAAGAGAAAGTGTTGGGTTTATTGTTATCCTCAAGGAATGCGTGTCTTACATGGTTGATCTTTAGATGTTAGTCTTAAACAAGGTTAATTATTAAGACGCAAATGTCACTTTTAATGCAATTTGAGGCAAGATGTTGATGGTTCCATGTTGTGATATGTGGGTTTTAGATGTCAAAGTTTTGTTTAAAGTTTGGTTTAAGTAGAACTGGTGTTGAACCACATTGCTCCTGTATGATAGCCGTCATATTGACCCCTGTCGAACCATACAACTACTGTATGATGGCTGTCCCTTTCAGATCGAGTTGAACTGCTGCATACGTTATTTTGGGGCGACAGTAGCTCAGTTGGTAGAGCATCGGCCTTTGGGCCCAAAGGTCGTGGGTTCGAGCCCACCACGGGACCTTCTCCACCGACTCCCACTGATGCCTGCTGTCGTTATGTCCGATGACGGAGATTTATCTTCCAACAGGACAATGATCCAAAACATAAAGCCAAATCTACAATGGAATGGTTCACAAATAGACGTATCCAGGTGTTAGAATGGCCAAGTCAAAGTCCAGACCTGAATCCAATCGAGAATCTGTGGAAAGAGCTGAAGACTGCTGTTCACAAACGCTCTCCATCCAACCTCACTGAGCTCGAGCTGTTTTGCAAGGAAGAATAGGAAAGAATTCCAGTCTCTCGATGTGCAAAACTGATAGAGACATACCCCAAGCGACTTGCAGCTGTAATTGCAGCAAAAGGTGGCGCTACAAATTATTAGTGCAAGGGGGCCGAATAATATTGCACGCCCCCCTTTTTCAGTTTTTTATTTGTTCAAAAAGTTTAAATTATCCAATAAATTTTGTTTTTATATATATATATATATATATATATATATATATATATATATATATATATATATATATATATATCAAACTGATCAAACTATATGCATCAAACTGAAATGTATATATATATATATATATATATATATAAATTTCAGTTTGATGCATATGTGTATGCATCAAACTGAAATTTCCCCATTGTGGGACGAATAAAGGACCTTCTTCTTTACTGACATAGGCCAATGATGCGTCCTGTGGCTAACTTGACAGCTACATGTAATAGCTTATAAATGGTCTGTTGGGTTGATAATGGAAATAGATTATAATAATAATTATAATTTAACAACTATGCTCTCATACAGTAGCAGTGTGGTTTGACAGGAGCAGTTACTACTTAAACTTTACACAAAACTTAAAACCCACTTATAACGACATGGAACCATCAACATCTCGCCTCAAATTGCATCAAAAGTGACACCCGTGTCTTTATTTGTTTGTATTCAAACAAGGGGCCGGGACTTTAACACGTTAATTAAGATAAATTAATTACCAAACAATTAGCACGTTAAAAAAAATTTAAGCAGGCAGGCGCGAGCGCGGCTATGTGAGCAGTGGGGTCCTTCAGAAAACTTTACGGAGCTGTCAAATTAACTTTAGCAGTGTCTAAAACTTAGTGAGTTAGAGATGGGAATGAGCGCTGTGTATGGAGCGATGGACGCGAGCGTCTGCTGTGTGTGAGGAAGAGGAGGAGCAACTCCTGTGTGTGAGCGGAGGAGGAGGAGCGAGACACAGGTGTGTGAGGAGCAGCGACTCCTGTGTGTGTGAGCGGAGGAGGAGGAGCGAGACACAGGTGTGTGAGGAGCAGCGACTCCTGTGTGTTTGAGCGGAGGAGGAGGAAGAGGAGGAGCGAGACACAGGTGTGTGAGGAGCAGCAGCGGCTCCTGTGTGTGTGAGCGGAGGAGGAGGAGCGAGACACAGGTGTGTGAGGAGCAGCAGCGGCTCCTGTGTGTGTGAGCGGAGGAGGAGGAGCGAGACACAGGTGTGTGAGGAGCAGCAACTCCTGTGTGTTTGAGCGGAGGAGGAGGAAGAGGAGGAGCGAGACACAGGTGTGTGAGGAGCAGCAGCGGCTCCTGTGTGTGTGAGCGGAGGAGGAGCGAGACACAGGTGTGTGAGGAGGAGCAGCGGCGTCTGTGTGTGTGAGCGGAGGAGGAGGAGCGAGACACAGGTGTGTGAGGAGGAGCAGCAGCTCCTGTGTGTTTGAGCGGAGGAGGAGGAAGAGGAGGAGCGAGACAGGTGTGTGAGGAGGAGCAGCGGCGTCTGTGTGTGTGAGCGGAGGAGGAGGAGCGAGACACAGGTGTGTGAGGAGGAGCAGCGGCTCCTGTGTGTTTGAGCGGAGGAGGAGGAAGAGGAGGAGCGAGACAGGTGTGTGAGGAGCAGCAGCGGCGTCTGTGTGTGTGAGCGGAGGAGGAGGAGCGAGACACAGGTGTGTGAGGAGGAGCAGCGGCTCCTGTGTGAGCGGAGGAGGAGGAGCGAGACACAGGTGTGTGAGGAGGAGCAGCGGCTCCTGTGTGTGTGAGCGGAGGAGGAGGAGCGAGACACAGGTGTGTGAGGAGGAGCAGCGGCGTCTGTGTGTGTGAGCGGAGGAGGAGGAGCGAGACACAGATGTGTGAGGAGGAGCAGCGGCTCCTGTGTGTGAGCGGAGGAGGAGGAAGAGCAGGAGCGAGACACAGGTGTGTGAGGAGGAGCAGCGGCTCCTGTGTGTGTGAGCGGAGGAGGAGGAGCGAGACACAGGTGTGTGTGAGCTGCTATTGTTGATGTTTAGTCCAAATGTATACATCACAAACGTATTCTAAAGCTTTAGCAAACAGCACATGCCCAACTTTAGAGCTCACTGCGAGTGCAGTGGATTTTAGGCATGAAAAGCGTATGTAATAATATTATCTATTATATCTATGTATCTATTAATATATACATACATATAATAGATAATAATATTATTATTAATAACTGGATAGGGTATTACAGCTTGGAGCTGAAGGACCCATGTGCTCGCGGGATTCTCGCGGTACTGCAGACTAAACCAGACTAAACTCACGTTGGCTACCCAGAAACAAAGCCCCGTGGATGGGAAGTATTTTTCTGATAATGGTATTGCACTTAATGGCAAAAATTGCACTGGTCTGTTGGACGTGAACAAAAATAAACCATATTTTTGCAGCTTAATCTATGTGAAAAAAAAAACGACTTCTCACTGTTCTCAGGTCAAATATTTATATGCGATTAAAATGTGATTGTGATTGATTAATTACAAAGCCTCTTAGACAATTTTTTTTTTTAGCCCTAATTTAAACTTTTAAAGCTGACTTTATTCCCACCATCTTGGTTTGCTTTGGCTGCTGTGAGACGCACATGCGCAGGTTTGCATTACATCATAAACAGCTGAGGTGTATTTCGACAAGGCAGTGCAGACCGACATAACACCTGCCGTCATCTGGCATATGTTCCCCGTCCTTTTCCATTGTTTCCTGACATTTTTACGAGCAGGATGCTTTATTTAAAAATCCAATAGTCCGCAGTAATGATTTATGCTGCTAAAATTTTGAACACTGTTTGGCTTCTGCTCTCTCCACTCTGCTAACCATTTGTAATCCAGGTTTAGCTACAACCAAAGGATTGTGTCTTTTGAATGTACTGTGATTATTTGATTTATTTTAAAGTCTTGTATGATTGATTCTATCTTCTATCTAGCACATTGAGTTGCATTGAGTTGCATATGAACTGCTTTACTAATAAACTTACCCTGCCTGATGGTACCAAACAGTGCCCGCAGATTTTGCGATGGCTTTGTGTTTACCTTTGGTTGTTGCTTTGACCCAATTTTATGTATGTATTTATTTTAAATATGTAAATGTATCCACTCAAATAATTACAATTTGACTACAATTGTATCTAATAAAACAGCTCTGGTACTTAACCAGGTCCTAAATGTATGAAGATTTTACCGTTTTGCATTAAACTTTCCCCTCTAAATTGGGGAACTACACTTGGCTAGGTTACAGGTCATATCTGTGGAGAGGAGACACTATCCAATGTAAGATTTCAGGATTTAGGTCGAATCATCTGAAATTGAAATGTTGGAAATGTACTGAGAAAGTAAGCATACAGTAGATGTGAGGTTCAAGTGTTGCCGGTGTCACTCAAAGTCTGCTCTGTGCTTGTTGCAGGTGGCGGTGAAGATCATCGATAAGACGCAGCTCAACTCCTCCAGTTTACAAAAGGTAACGTTTATACAGAAACCCTCTCTGCCGATGGAATAAAAGGCCAAAAAAGCACTAAAAGATTGTTATTCATTTATTAGAACAAAACACACAGATCTAAGAAAGAAACTGAAAACCTGTAATAAAAACGGTTAAAGAAAAGGGGGCGGGCTGCCATATTTGCTCTTCCTGTTTGACCCGCTCGTGTCCCTGGGTTGCCACACGTGCGTGGAGTGAGGAAGTCGAGTAAATCTCATCTCCTGCATTTGCCTCTCCTGCTCTGCAAAAGCCGCGCTGTACAACTGCGTGCCGTGAGGCGCATGCGAATAATCACACGTACGCCCGTTTGACTTTGCATGTAAATTCGCTGCATCGCATGATCCAGTGTGAACGCCTCATTATAATTTGACAAATCCTCCAAATAAGTCATTCAAATAAACTCTTTTTTTAAAAACACCTATTTAATTTAAAGAACACAGTTAGACGTGAACTTTTTAAAAGGCAGAATATATTTTCCCACTTTTCTTGATTCATACAGTTGTACTCCTCTTCTGGTCCTGATTAGGAGTCTCCATCCCCAGTTCTCAAAAGCACGTATTGTCCTTTAGCATCCATGACGGCTTGATGTCTTAGTGGTGGTAGTCGTGGATGAGGTTCTTTATCCTCTGAAGGTAAAGCCACCCATTCTTCTTGGCAAAAAGCCACCAGTTTCTGTACATTCCTGGGCTGCCTCGCATAAACTGCACATTTAAGATCTCCCCAGAGCGGCACATGAGACGTTGAATGGCTTCACACATCCTCTATAACGATGAATCACAAAATATTGACAAATAATGGCAAGTGTTTGTGTGTGGTTGTACTTTTCAAGGGAAACTGTATATGTAAAAGAGTAAATATTCTCAAGATCATGTGTACCATCCACCATACTGTATTTGTGGATTCTCTGCAGTACATTTCCGAGCAGTTATCTCTTCTTTTCCTGGAGTGACCAAAGTGAGTCCTTGTTCCTCTGCTGGCTGTGTCTGTCCCCAGCGTCTTCCCTGCAGCCTTTGATGTGGGGTCACTTTTTCCCACTGAGTTTTAATTAGGGGAAGCACTCTGCAATTATTGGCGTTTGATGGCGGCTGGGCGGGGTCGCTAGCTCTAGCTTAGAATAGCCTGCCTCGTCACGCCTCGTCACATGACCCCATGAAGGGGACCGCGCTCAGACCAGCTCTCATGGGACTCTCAAACTCTTCAGCTGAAGTTTCCCTTTGTATCACAATCAAACAAAGTTAAACAGTAGTCATTGTGTTCATTTTGACCCTTTCAAAAGGTCTTAGTAAATGTACCGTGGCATTTTTTAGTTTTGTGGAAAGTAAATTCTATACTTTAAATCAAAAGATCTGGATAAACATGTAAAATGGAACTAGAGATTACTAGAATACTTTAGTTCAAAATATCAAGTGTTTTGATCTAGCGTTGCTCAAATTCTTTTCCCGACCCCATATATGATACTTTATATTACATTATAATATACAATAAATTACACTTGCTGCTAGTCTACAAGAGAATTCAACGTGTTGTGGTTGACCTACTGTAATTGGAATGTTTTTAAGTTATTTTAATGTAGTAATATGTAATTCAAGGAATATGTGGCTAAAACATCTCGTATTTACTGTTAGCTCCAGCCAGTCTTCTGGGCAACGGGTGTTGTACGTAGATGGGACCAGGCTAGGCCTGTTCAGACTGCCGCTGTTTCTTTGATTGATATGCTAATATACCAAAGGTGCCACTTTAAAACTGTAGAGAGATAGGATTTTGTAACCGGAGAGAGCAGCACCTTATTATTGAACCTGCTTTTTTACTGACTCATTTGAACTTTGAATTGAAAGATCCAAGCATTTGAATCAGGTGAACATTGAACCAAATCATCGCTGGTTGAAGCTGAAGCAACTTAAATAAATGGGATCGCAGCAGGTGTATACAGGTATATACAGTAAGTGTATACAGGTATATACAGTAAGTGTATACAGGTATATACAGCAGGTGTATACAGGTATATACAGTAAGTGTATACAGGTATATACAGTAAGTGTATACAGGTATATACAGTAAGTGTATACAGGTATATACAGCAGGTATATACAGCAGGTATATACAGGTATATACAGCAGGTATATACAGGTATATACAGCAGGTATATACAGGTATATACAATAAGTGTATACAGGTATATACAGCAGGTGTATACAGGTATATACAGCAAGTGTATACAGGTATATACAGCAAGTGTATACAGGTATATACAGCAAGTGTATACAGCAGGTATATACAGCAGGTGTATACAGGTATATACAGCAAGTGTATACAGGTATATACAGCAAGTGTATACAGGTATATACAGCAAGTGTATACAGGTATATACAGGTATATACAGCAGGTGTATACAGGTATATACAGCATGTGTATACAGGTATATACAGGTATATACAGCAGGTATATACAGCATGCGTATACAGGTATATACAGGTATATACAGCAGGTGTATACAGGTATATAAAGCAGGTGTATACAGGTATATACAGGTATATACAGCAGGTGTATACAGGTATATACAGCAGGTGTATACAGGTATATACAGCAGGTATATACAGCAGGTGTATACAGGTATATACAGCAGGTGTATACAGGTATATACAGCATGTGTATACAAGTATATACAGCAAGTGTATACAGGTATATACAGGTATATACAGCAGGTGTATACAGGTATATACAGCATGTGTATACAGGTATATACAGGTATATACAGCAGGTATATACAGCATGCGTATACAGGTATATACAGGTATATACAGCAGGTGTATACAGGTATATAAAGCAGGTGTATACAGGTATATACAGGTATATACAGCAGGTGTATACAGGTATATACAGCAGGTGTATACAGGTATATACAGCAGGTATATACAGCAGGTGTATACAGGTATATACAGCAGGTGTATACAGGTATATACAGCATGTGTATACAAGTATATACAGCAAGTGTATACAGGTATATACAGCAGGTGTATACAGGTATATACAGCAGGTGTATACAGGTATATACAGCAGGTGTATACAGGTATATACAGCAGGTGTATACAGCAGGTGTATACAGGTGTATACAGCAGGTGTATACAGGTGTATACAGGTATATACAGCAGGTGTATACAGGTATATACAGCAGGTGTATACAGGTATATACAGCAGGTGTATACAGGTATATACAGCAGGTGTATACAGGTATATACAGCAGGTGTATACAGGTATATACAGCAGGTGTATATAGGTATATACAGCAGGTGTATACAGGTATATACAGCAGGTGTATACAGGTATATACAGCAGGTGTATACAGGTATATACAGCAGGTGTATACAGGTATATACAGCAGGTGTATACAGGTATATACAGCAGGTGTATCAAAATGTGACTAGTTTTCAACAGTGATCTCTCATTCAAAGTGCCCCACGTGCCGCTCAGGGGGTTAGTGTTTTTGCTCAGACCCATGAAAAATCTGAGGGAACACTGGTCATACGTCAAAGTTACGTTCTGTGGCACTCACTATAATCTTGGTATTTCTCCTCTGGCTTTTTCTTTATTCAAATTGGCAATAAATATGAGTCATAGGGTTTGTTTGCTGCTGTCAAAGTTGTGCATACAATGTAAAATACAGCTTCCCCTTCCAAAGTCCAGCTTCAGACAGGCTTTCTTCCCTCTGTCCTTCCCTTCCAAAGTCCAGGTCCAGACGGGCCTTCCTCCCTTCGTCCTTTCCCTCTCACTCAGTTTCATGTACTTTTCAACCTTTAGCCCGGATGGCACAACTGCTGATCTGTTTATATTGGAAGAACAATGATGTGACGTTAGAAATGACAGAGAATTGTTGAAACAATTTAGTTTATTCATGTATTGCTTTTGTAAACGAAGCAATATTACACAATGTAAAGCCAGCTTGACTTTATGTCCACGTTATTCCAGATCCAAATGTGTAACAAATGTACGTGTATGTGTATGTGTGAGAAGCTCCGCTAACGCTTGATAAGTCTATGTCCAGGACATGGCCAGAGTGCTCTGGACACACAGACTCAAGCAATACACCCCCATTACCTTGCTGTGTGTCTATTGTTGCTTGTAGTTCTGTCTTGCTATGTGGCCCTCTGTCTTTGCTAACACAAAGTAGCCACTTACAAACTTTCACTGTCTGTGAAAGCTCCGACAATATGGACATGTTGTGCCTCGATGTAAAGCTCAGAATCTTTGGAATCCAGTTGTTAACTGTATTTGTTTATACAGACGTTTGTTGTGGATTGGGTCAATATTCCATACATGGAATGGTGTGATCAATATGGATTTATTCATACCCCTTTTTAAAGCCCAAACCAGCCCGGTCAAAACAGTTTAACGATCCATGTTGTCGTCCCTGGACAAGTCTGGTTAATATAAGTAGACCTGTTACCGAAACATTTGGACACCCCTGCCTTAGAGCCTCCTCAGTCTGTGTTTAAGCTGTTCTTTAGTTAATGTAGCCCGAGCTTTAGCCGTAGCTTTAGACCTAGCTTTAGCCATGATAGCTGCTGCATTTAGGGTCTGCATTTGGCTATGTGTGGGTATAGATTGAAGTTTTTATACAGTCCACGGGAGCATCAAACACTGTTCCTGGATTGGGCTTTTTTTTTCTAAAACATTTCATGTCCTTTAGCTCTTAACAAGCTTTTTTTTCTTAATGAGCTGTTTTCAGTTCCACAAAGCAACAATGCAGCCATTAGTTAATGGGTGCAGGGTACACAGTTCCTGGATTGGGCTGATCTTGACATTAAATTCAATGTTTCCGAACATGCCCTACTCAAATGCCCAGCCGATATTTATATCAATATTGGATCAGACCCCAATTGTCCAAACCATGAATGGCCACATGCTGTGATATACAAGTCAAGTGAACGGTCAAGCAGAAACATAGAAAAATTGTCAAAACCATTCAATTTCAAAACGTCAAAAAATGAGAAGACAAAGAGCTGTAGCAGGAAATGTCCGGTATAAACTACACTTAGAAAAAAGATAAACGCTACACTTTCAATTTTGCTCCCATTTTTCATGAGCTGAACTCAAAGATGTATCAATAAAAGACAGCACTGTCTGTTATTGATATTCCTGTCCAAGGTGCAGCTCAATGAAGTGCCCATCAAAACTGGTCTATTGAGCATTTATATATATATACGAGTTAAAAACCTAAAGATGATTAAAAACCAAAGTAAGTGCAGGTCGTGATGATTTGGCCTCTTTCCTCAGCTCTTCAGAGAAGTGAGGATCATGAAGATGCTGAACCACCCCAACATCGGTGAGTAGCAGTCGTAGTGGTACATGTCATTGTCGTCCAAGTTGTTTTTGTTTTATCAGACAAACAACCTATTTCCTAGGGGTCTAATTGTTTCACGATTTAAGATGTTTAAGATTCCGATATTATATATATTATATATTTCAATCCAGCTCAACACATTTTCACATATATCCACTTAACAAATGACATGTAAACGGTTCGTAATGGCAACTGCTTATTTGACTCCAAACCTCTATCGCACATTCCACACAGTACTATACTCTGCAGTAAAATTAAAAAACGCAAAGCTCTACAGTACATACAGTTGTGAAATACATGACACTACCTCGGAAACGACACACTCAGATAATACACAGGCCCAAACACTCTCCGACTCTACACCTCTCTCTTTGTGCTTAAGGCATCACTTTTTCTTCAGTACTTTTTTTTTCAACAATTATATCAGGTTTGAGCATGCTTTCCATTTGTCTGCTAAATCATCCCTGACCAACGGTAAAATGAGCTCATGTCGCTATACGTCTGCTCTGAGAAAGCACTGGACAGATGCACTCTACCATAAATCTGCTGGCACTGACTCTATACATTTGAATGCATTGTCCTTTTATTTTTTATTTTGTATGGACCAATTTTATCTTGAGTCTGAAATAAAGATTAATAATAATAATACACATTTATTTTGAAATAGTTCTACACTGAGGCAGATAATTGTTTTGTTTGTAAGTATGCAGAGTATCTCTCATATGGAGTAGGTTTAGTACATTAGGTACATACAGTATGTACTAATGTACCTGGTTTTCATGTCACAAAAATGACATGAAAACCAGGAAGCATCGCGAGGCACAATATCTCGCTTGAAAAGAATCCTTAAACGGCCTGTAAATGCCTCTTGTGGTCCGCTCTGCACTCTGTGTCTGCACTGATGCGTCAGTCAAAAATCTTAAAATAGCCATTGGCGGGGTCTGTATGATTGAGTTGAAATGCAAGGTCAGAATGGTAAATTGGATATGCCCAATCATTTATTTTTTATCATTTATTAGGAGTTTAATAATCTTCAAAGATGAGTGATGAAAAGATGACGTAATAAAGTCTGGAGCCCTACAGGAGTCAATGGACAGTGTTCACGTTTAATGTATTATGTGCGCTGTGTTCTCTCCGCAGTCAAACTGTTCGAGGTGATAGAGACGGAGAAGACCCTGTACCTGGTCATGGAGTATGCCAGCGGAGGTGTGTGTCGCACTCGCATCACTCAGCTCAGTGCTGCTTTTGTTCCAACAGTCTCACTTCTTACTTTACACCAATGAGTGTGTGCACGTGTGTGTCGTGCTTCACACTTCCATCTGCTTCCTTTATCTGGGGCCAGGTGTGGAGGCAGCAGTCTGAGCAGAGGTGCCCAGACTTCCCTCTCCACGCTCACTTCTCACCCAGGGGAACACCTCACCATCTCCCTTGGCTCCTCTACATGTGAAGGAGCGGCTCTGTTTCAAAAGCCCATCTTGGAAACGTGGTCCTGATGAAACTCTCCTGCGTAGATCACTCCATGAGCGATTACACCTGAGTGTGGAAGACCCTCAACCTAAGGCTAGGGAACCCCCCCTTCCAAGTAACGGCAAAAGGATTTAAATTACACATCATATTTCTGATTATTTCAACTGTCTTTTGCTTTTTTAATTATTGTGACTCCCTACTTTAAGTTTGTCAAGTAATAAAAGGAGGCACCATCCTTGAGGCTAGCTCATAAATATATAAACTCAATTTCTTTCCACTAAAAATGATTTTGCTGATTTAAATAAGGTTTGTTTAAATTCAATTAAAGGAGCTATACCCGTTTCTGCAAGGTTTGAATGTTTATCACCGCCCCTCAACTCTCTCACAGGCTTCTCATTTTCCCTACGCTCTCATAACCCGGAGCCACCTAGTTATATTTGCGATCTGATACGTATGCTAACATTAGCATGAGCGCAACTTCTTGTAAGCTGTACAACAATCACTGATGAAATGGTACAAAAGCAACGCACTGCTAACAAAATATATAACTGAAAGATTACTGCTAGTTCCGAATGTAGTCTGAGCATAGATATTCCGAACATAGATAGTTCAAGGCGGTCCCGCTACCGCATAGATATAGTGTGTGTAGTAAAATGTGTCCACTTGTTTCAAGGGGGTGTCTACCTCAAAAGTTGCACCACATTCTGTTTTTTGGTTCTGGTGAGGAGCTGGAAAGGGTTGAAAATTAAGCCTTTGGAACATTATTTCAGGTCTGTACCTGGCAGTTTCTGAAAAAAGAAACTTAAAAGAAAAAAAGACGAGGGGTTTGTTTGTTCCTCTATCCACCTCAACTAAAATCCTTCTTTTTAAACATAAACCACAATCTGATTGGCAAATGATTGTTAGAAGACCTGCTCCAGCAATGTTTCTCATGGTCTCTGTGCTCCACAGGAGAGGTGTTCGATTACCTGGTGGCCCACGGCCGCATGAAGGAGAAGGAGGCGCGGGCCAAGTTCAGACAGGTCTGCCCTGCACTCATGACGTCTCACATTCAGCTTTATCAAAGGGCTTATTACAGCTTGGACTTTAGGATTGTTAACTGGACATTAGAGACTGCCAAAATCAGTCATTCCTAAACTGAAATGGATTACAACATAAAAAAGAGCTTGAACCGAGGAAGCACCATCCAAGGAGCAGTTTGCAACTCCTCACTTGACGTTCCCAGCTTTACATGGGTTTGATTATTGGATTTGGACCCCTGTAAAGGAGGTGCTGTTCTTCATCTAACCTGTGTCCTCTCGTCTTGTACGCAGATTGTGTCAGCGGTGCAGTATTGTCATCAGAAGTGTATAGTGCATAGAGACTTGAAGGTGAGCTCTCTTCTATTGCCCTCCACATGCCCTTGTCCTTACCGTTTGTTAGCAACAGAAACCTGCTGTACAAAACATAATTGGGGTTAGGTTTATTCTGAAACAACATAATAAATGCTACATGTGCAGGGTTCTCGACCAGGATTCTTTTTAACAGCGTTGTGGTCCGAGCTTTAATAGGAGGTTGGTTTCTACATGATCAAGACAAGATTGTGGAAGGAGAAAGTGTTTACAGAGGGGCATATCAAATAAAATGAGAAGGGTGACCCTAGGTACACTTCAACTGTGAGTGACAGAATGTGAATCACTTGCCTTTGTATATTTTTTATTGTATAACTATTAATTTGAATAATGGTGAAGAAAGTATTTAGCCAATAACAAAATCTTTGTTGGCAATGAGTTTGCACGTTTTCCATTATTCTTCACGTATTACTATCAAGTCTGCAAGTGAATCATGATTATTTCAAATCGGTGCAATGGAAAATTGAAACTGGCCCGTGGGACCTATGGCCCTGTGTTTGACATAAGCGAGTTAAGACATGGATGTACATTGAGACGTAAAGAGTCGTACAGATACCTATGTTTCAGACAAAAGTAATCATTCACAAGGGCTGCATGAATGCAAAAGGTATTTTTCCAATCTGTGGGTCTACACTTTTTTATATGTATCCAATTACATTCATGCAACAAAATCCAAGCAATATTTGGGTGTGAACGCCACCTCTGTCACTCAAATGCGGAGACAGTTTTTATAGGAGTTGTTATTGGAACAGTTCGCAGTGATGAGAACTTGTACACAAACAGATTTGAGCACAGATAGAAACACATTCCATGATGCCATTTGCCCATTCACAAATAGTGCTTTTGGCGTTAATGGAGGATGCGTCCATGATGATGGCTCTGCATTATAGAGTGATGATGAGTTTGCCCATATATATAATAACCCCTGCTCTCCTGTGCCCTGCAGGCAGAGAACCTCCTCCTGGACGCAGACATGAACATAAAGATTGCAGACTTCGGCTTCAGTAACGAGTTCACGCTGGGGAACAAGCTGGACACGTTCTGCGGCTCCCCTCCATACGCCGCCCCTGAGCTGTTCCAGGGGAAGAAGTACGACGGGCCCGAGGTGGACGTGTGGAGTCTGGGGGTGATCCTCTACACACTGGTCAGCGGCTCGCTGCCCTTCGACGGACAGAACCTCAAGGTACCATTTCAATCTGTTTGTACTTTCAAGGACACATACAGTGCCTTGAAAAAGCATTTATACAGCTTGAACTTTTGCACCTTTTGTAAGTTTACAACCAGAAACATAAAGTGGCTCAAGTAACAGATAACTTTGGCACATATTATCCCTCTTCTATTGTTGTCCATCCAGAAACACTATCAGGCACTTCACACACAAAAAGGCACGAACACGTCCCCCTCCCCTTCAGTCCAAATGCTCCTACCTCAAACTTTGTCAAACCCTTTGCCTTTTTGTCATAGACTGAACTGTTTTCTGCCTTTTTCTAAATGTGCACCATCCCCATTGACAAGAACAGGAGGGGCAGCATCATGTTATGGTGGCTGGAGCAAAATACAGGACATTATTGGATAAAAAGCTGCTGGAGCTGGGGATTCCAGATAGTATTTACTCAGGCTGTATGATCTTAACTTAAAGGTTTTTTACAATATCATGTACTGTATCATTCAGTTGTTATGTTGAAGTTTTTCTGGAAAATATATCTGATGCGTGTGCATTCTTGTGCTTTGTAGGAGCTGCGGGAGCGAGTGCTGCGCGGAAAGTACCGCATCCCCTTCTACATGTCCACGGACTGTGAGAACCTGCTTAAGAAGTTCCTCATCCTCAACCCTTCCAAGAGAGGCAGCCTGGAGGTGAGCCCTAATAGCCCTAATTCACAACAGCAGTTGTCTCGGAGGACTTTACAAAATTGTTTGTTGACCAACAACTGATTAGGTAAAACAATTACAACACAGGAAATTCAATAATAGAACAAAACCAGTAGGAGAAAAGGAGATACCTCGGGGAGACCCACAGTGAGGGAGATATCCGCTCCATTGGACGGACAGGCTGTAGATCCAAGAGGTTCCCAGACAGGAAGGGGGGGCATCCCATGTTTTCAGGCCGGGGGTGACCAGTTCACAGGTGCAGGTCAAAGAGGCTGGTTTACATTGAATGAGATTCACCCGATTCTACTGTACAGCATTTTGGTAGCTAAATGCACTGCCTACTTTTTGACAACTGCAGGAGTCTGACGTTTTGAGAGTGTTCGATTAGAAGCTAGGAGAGGGCCTTGCCATTTATGCCCTTGTATGTCAAAAGAAGGATTTTAAATTTGATTCTATACTCCATGGGAAGCCAGTGGAGTGATTTTAACACCAGAGTTGTATGTTCCCTCCTTTTAGTATCTGTTAACCTCTTTACACCCACCGGCGCGCCGTTTTTATGTTTTTAAATGTTCTGCTGGCAATAGCAGATGTATTTTGAACACCAAACCCCAAAAGCTGTATATCATTTTAAAGCTTATTTTCTTATCTACATGGATATACTAGTGTAAACTACATAAGACTTTGCATTCAAAAGATATAACACATAATGTGGGCACAAAAGAAATCAATTCCTTTGGACTTGTGCTGTACAAATAAATCAGCTCTCCTCCCAGCTTGCAATACATCATTCTCTCTGGGACAGTCCAAAGGAAAATTATATCCGCTTGTATTACCCAAAGTAAAATCCATTCTGCAGAAATAATCCAAAAATGTGCATTTATCTTTAGCAAAAAAAACGAAAAAAAAGAGCACAGATGTTGCTCTTTCACTTTTAACGGACTTTTAGCTTTGTTTTTCACCCAAACATCTGGTATCCACGTGTTCCTTATCTCCTTATTTTTCAAATGAGACTACTCCCGAAAAGCTAGACCAATTTTTGGATCTGCAAGAGCTCCCGTGAGTACAGCTAGCGCTGCTGTTTGCGCATGGATCACTGATCTTTGTTGTTGTCCCTACTTGTTTGCATCTATTTCCTGGATTTTTGATTGACATGTCCGTGTAGCCAATGAGGAAAGCTTTCGAACAAGGGGTGGGACAATGGTGTTGAATCTTATTTTGAGCTTGTAGAATCGTGCGTAATGGCAGCTAAAAAACGCTCTTGAAGCTGCAATGAATTTAAAATTTGACATTTAAAAAAAAAAAAAAAAACACATAGATTAGTAACTTATAAGTACCAATAATAAAAAATATTGTTTTTATGATGTGCCAAATGTGCACTACTTGATGAAAAGGAGAAACTGCATAAAAACTATAAAACTTAGAAGTCTGAAACTTTAGACAGTTGTTGTCAACAACACAATGACCACAGGGTTTGAATATTGTGAACTTACAATGAAGTATGCCTTTTTTAGGGCCTTTAGAAATTGAAAATGTTAGGCGAGGCTAAAAAACAATTGTTTTTTTCCCCAAACTTCAAAGGATGCAGAGGGAAATAGGAATGACAAACATTATTTTAGTGTATATTTACATAAACTAGAAGGCTCTAGCTTTAAAATGATGCATCACACAAGCATGTGAGATGTAAGATGTGTTTTTAAATAAGAAAAGACATTTGGGTATGCCCAACTTTTGTGCACAAGCCAAAATGAGGCGGGTGTTAAGAGGTTATAATCCTTGCTACTGTGTTGTTGTATCAGAAAAAGCTTTTATAGAAGATTTAGTGCAAGGAGGACATTATTGTAGTCGAACTGTAACGCCCTCAAGCCACGTATTTGTCAACTCCAAGTAAAGCCTTGAGGTGACAAATGTGTGGATCAGTCTTTCTACATCACTTTTTGGAAGATTTTTGTCTGTATTGTGCAGATGGAAATGAGCTGTTTTAGTTGCTTCTTTTATATGTGCTCTGAAGAAAAGTTCTTGGTCGAAAATGACTATTTAAAGTTTTTTTTTCCAGCGCTATTTTTTATTGAAAATTATATTGTTATAATGATATTTCCTTCTCATATCATGATATAATTTTTTTTCCTATATCACCCAGCCTTACTGCTTAAACTTGTTCATCACTGATATTAGGGAAGGTTTCATCTCATTTGGTCCTCACTAATAACAGGTGGTTTCGTTTTACAGATAGTTGTAATTTTACTAGAATTGAAGGAAGTCAACACTTTCAGGGAGATAAGTATTATAGGTTCCACTACGCTCTGACACTACTGAACGAGAATCCTCTGGGCCCTGTTTTAGGTCTGATCTTGGGCCTGGTCTTGGCCATTGTCTTTTTCTTGGGCCTACAATGCTCTGATACCTTCTTTGTCCCAGCAGCAGATCATGAGGGACCGATGGATGAACGTAGGCCATGAGGAGGAGGAGCTCAAGCCTTACATTGAGCCCCAACCGGACTACAAGGACCCGCAGCGGACAGGTAAGTTTGGTGAGCTGTCTTATTATCATCTTACTGGAAAGAACAGAAAATACTTAAAGACTGACAAATATTACTAATTATACAACTTTGTTTTTGGTTTTTTTTGTACAATTTCTTTTGCAACGTTAAGAACAATACATGATCTATTAGCGCCTCGTCAGGACTTTAGGAATCAATTAATGAGTCCTCTTTTGATATTTTTCTTCAAAACCTTCACCCTGGGTCAGAATGCCCTAAATACGTCAATGAAATTCCTTTTCCAGTTTCAGTTTCCCTATTTTAGAAGGGGAAACTGAGGATGCTCCTTTATTAGCCCTTTAGCATGGGAAACCTGGGACGTCATTTATTCGTCTGCAGAAGTGCTTTATATAGACCAGCGATCTTCAACCTTTTTAGTGCAACGGACCGGTTTAACATCAGACAATATTTGCTCGAACCGGCACCCAAACGCACCCTCCCCTCCCTGCAAATGGAGAATTGAGTTGAATTGTGGGCGATGTATTAATATTTAAAATATATTGCCCAGCGTCATTACAGTGTGTTTAATGCTGCTTTACTCAGCCTTTGTTTACGTTATTAGAAAGTTTTGTTACAGCTCATTTAAGTCTGCGGGATTTTTCAAATTAGTGCACTTTTTAGCAGTGGCAAGGTATATTTGTGGAATTCGAATGCAGCCATGTCCTTTACAGAAATTGCGAGTGGAATCTGCGACTGCGCCACAGTTTTTTTTTTTTTTGCAGATTGTTCTTATTAGATTTTAAGACGTGACTCACACCACAAACAAGAGACTAAAATACTTGTAGAACACAGCAAGCTTAGTGTGAGCCTCTTGTTCGCAGACGTCATGCTGCAGATGGGCTTCTCTCAGGAGGAGATCCAGGACTCGCTGGTGAACCAGAAGTACAACGATGTGATGGCTACGTACCTGCTCCTGGACTACAAGAACTCTGAGGTGAGGCGTCCCCATTTCCATTGTCAAGCACTTTGAATAACACAAATTATAATTTGTGCTCTTATGGACACATTTTATATGTATTCTTCATTATTTATAACCATGTTTGTTGGCCTATAAGTGGCTCTGGAATAAACATCGCCCCATATACATACTGACTGGGCTCATCGTGGCAGCACAAAAAGCACTTACAAGAAGAAGCTCGTTCCACTTAATTCAGCGCGTCACATTCTTATGGGATTCTTGGTAATGAACTGTAAAAGGTTTTGCGTTAAGTTTAAATCCTGACATATATTGGGACGATGCGAACTGGAGACTCAATATGGTGCTTTACTGCACATTACACCGTGTGACTTCAGGCAAAGGCTGTTCACTGCCTGCTGTTATTTCGCTGGGCTGCTCTTCTCTAATCACACACCATTTTCTCTGTTCACACATTTTTAGTTTTATTTTGGTGATCTGTGAATCATTGTGCAAGCAATAGTTCTCAAAGAAAAACACAATCAGATGCTCGCCAAGTTGGTCTGTGCTCTGAGATCTGCGTTGCCTTTGTGAGCATGTTTACGGTGACGCTGCAGAAAGGGCCAATCCTCTGTCTTCACCTGGAATGGACTGATAGCATTGTTTTGGATCCGTATTGACATTTAATAAAATATGTTCTATATATTACATTAAAGCATGAAATTGATTCAAATAATTATAAATACTGTCGGATTTTCATTTATAAAAACATCTCTTCTGTTTCAGCTGGAGGAAGGATTCATCAAACCCCGTCCAGGAAGTGATGTAAGTAACATTAGTAACCTCACCATCTCGCAAAGAAAATTAGGGACTGCACGGCTGAGACCGCAGCTGTGCTGGGACAGACACAACAACTTGTCTTTAGCTTTTACTAGGATACAATACAATACAATACCATATTATTCTTGTACAGCCCTAAATCACAACAGAAGTCATCTCAGAGGACTTAACAAAACCATTGAAATCACCAACACAGATCAGACAATAAATAGTTAAGACAGAGTTATGGATAAATGTCCATACATGTTGTAGAATGTTTAAGTGCCCTGGAACATCACCATAGTCCTTTTTGTTAGACACTAACTGTCCAACAGACCCTCCTACATCAGCAAGGAAAAACTTGAGAAACCTCGAGGAGTCCCACATTGAGAGAGGGATCCGCTCCACACGGACGGACGGGCTGCGGCCACAGAACGTGGGCCGGTCCGGTGCGGGAATGAAGCTCTCCCAGGCGGACTGCCCTGCAGTCCGCAGGTGTTGATGGAAAGGGCCGGTTCAGAGGTCCCGTTGTCGCACCATGAAACAGACAATGGGACAACAGGACAACGGGTGAATAGCAATGAACAGACTACAGTCAAAATCCAAATAATGCAGACAGATAAAGTAGGAAGGAGAAGAGAATAGTGCTCAAGTTACCATACACTTCCCAGCAAAATGACTCCCTACGCAGCTTGACTGACAGTGAAAGATTTTTAGTCTTCCCTGAGTCTTACCTTCCTAACCATATGCTAAACTGAAGACTGTTTTTTAGCCTAGCCTAGAACGTAGGATGTAACTATTTTGATGTCACCTCAATGTTACATTTTAAAACAAGACAAAAAAGCGGCTCACATGACCCTGGAAAGTTTAGACTCTCACAGAGGTGGTCCCACAGACCCTCACAGAGTCTCTGTGTCCATGGACTCTGACAGAGACTGTCCCACGGACCTTCAGAGAGGCCGAACAGTGCTATTGATATTGTATCGTACCACAAGATTTGGATGTAGTTACATCCCATATATTTAAGGAAACTGATGGAGACACATACAGAAAGCCTGAGGTGGCATTTCTTTTTACTTCAGTACTATACTTTCCTGATATCAGGATTACTTACTACTTATTTTCTTTGCTACTTATTTTTCTGCCTTTTTTTTCTGAATTTAATCTTCTTTTTTTTATTCAAGTAAAGCAGAGTCAAGTAAAGCAATGACTTTTCCCAGGTGCAGAGGAGCATCTCGTCCAATCAGAAGCCTTCCAACCGCCGAACCACTGAGCAAGGTGAGACGGGGGGCTGTCTGGAGGAGGTGGGACTGGTGGGCGTGAGGGGAGAGGTGTAAAGTCTGCTTGCCTGATCTGAGATTGCTGGTGTTCTCACTGCGTTTACAAGAGGACTTTGACTTGAGGTCTGAGCAAAAACACAGCAACATGGAGTGTGTTGTTGTCAGAACAACTCGGCATCTAAAGGCCTATTTATACCAACCAGATGAGAGCTAACATCCAACTGCTCTGCTATCTCCTGTTGGGCCAGCCCGGCTGAAAACATTTTTCAAGATGCACCATCAACAGTAACATCAGCCAACTCCATGCCGCATGAACGTTCTGGAACTGCACAGTCCCCTGAGACTGTCCCACGAGGATGGCTGGTACAGAGTGTCTGTGGCCCCCGTGGAGTGGTGAACCGGGGGTCGCAGGGTTTGATTCACTTGTTTTTTTCACTGTTGTGGCAGCTGGAGCTTGCTCTCTGCACGCCACACTGCAGCATGCACTGGATAAGTCAAAGTCAACCCAAGGTGCATTTAGTGCATTTCTCATGCTCGAGCGCATTGACAGGTGCAAACATAGAATACATAGGAGAAAATGCTATGGACTAGAACAGCACCAGAGCCCCATCAGCAGCAGTGGCTCCTCCTTGGACACACACACAAAGTTACACCTCTGCTGCCGTGGGCCTTCCCCTCTGGCCCCCCACACACGCCACATGCCCAGTTAGACCTATTTGAACAAGTGTTTATCGCCTTTAGGTTTAGAACCAAAAAAATATATATATTTTCATACATATTCTCAATCATGTTTAAAGGAATAGTTCACCGTTTTTACATACTGACATATGTTCTTACCTTACCTTAGACTAATTAATACGTACCTGTCTGGTCTTAGTCCGTGCGCTCTGTCATGCAAACGGAGCAAAAACGGGAGCACAAACGCAGCCTCCTCTGTATACTGTATAGTACCCAAAAGGTAGCTCCCGCTAGAAGCTACCAAACTCTTCCAAGTGTTCCCTATTAAATGTATATAGTTACGTGACGTGTTACACTGCAAAGTATAGTAACACAGAAATGTAACAGTCGATTTTCTCAGCGGATAAAACGGGTACTATATTGTGAGGCGTAGTAATCTGAGGAGCGCTACGTCCGCGCACTAACTTCTCTCCGGAGACTTCTCTCTCGCTCACTTCCGTCAATAGAAGCAGCGTGACTTGTAGTACACACAGTAGCAGCGAGAGAGAAGTCTCCGGAGAGAAGTTAGTGCGCGGACGTAGCGCTCCTCAGATTACTACGCCTCACAATATAGTACCCGTTTTATCCGCTGAGAAAATCGACAGTTACATTTCTGTGTTACTGTACTTTGCAGTGTAACACGTCACGTAACTATATACATTTAATAGGGAACACTTGGAAGAGTTTGGTAGCTTCTAGCGGGAGCTACCTTTTGGGTACTATACAGTATACAGAGGAGGCTGCGTTTGTGCTCCCGTTTTTGCTCCGTTTGCATGACAGAGCGCACGGACTAAGACCAGACAGGTACATATTAACTAGTCTAAGGTAAGGTAAGAACATATGTCAGTATGTAAAAACGGTGAACTATTCCTTTAATTGGCAAAAAAGACACCCGTTCTATGATTTAGTTGTGTTTAACATTGCTTTGGCACTTTCCATCTCTCTTGTTTCCTCTGCCCCTAGGCTCGACCTATTCAAAGAGGTCAGGACAGGGGGACAAAAGCGGCACCACTCCTGCAGAGGACCCTGGCAGGAAAGGCTCCTCCAGCAGCTCCACTACCAAGGTCCCAGCCAGCCCTCTGGCTCCTGACCGCAAGAAGAGCGCCACCCCATCCACTGTGAGAACACGACTCTTCACCTGTGGTTCTTTTGGTCTTATCATGATCCAGTACTGTCATAACTGGTTGTTTAGGTCACCTGGTACGCTGTCCAATTAAGAGCACACCGCAGAATATTAGAATCTTATAAATTATTATTATTTTTTTTTCAATTCATTCTAACATTTTCATGATCAGAAATGCTGTATTAACGAGAGTACATAGTTTTGGATTTGACGTGGCACACTCCAAACGCCACCTTGTACTGCGCTTGTGGTGTAGCACATCATCCTCCTTGAGATGGAGGCTGTTCATTTGGCATTACAGTACATCCTTCTGTTGGTGAAGATGATGGTGCAAACAGACAACAGATGACATTTGCCGGTCTGCTGAATGTGCCAGCGGATATGCTGTCTCTTGGTCCTCCGCTCCTGTGAGAGTGGTGTCTGCACCCATAGGTGGTGAACCAGATCTGGTGTCGCTGAGGTTGGGTTTTAGAGCAACATAGGCCGATCATGAGGCCTGTCAGAGCTGACCTCTACGCCCTCTTCATTCAGCTCCTCCGTTGCTTCTCCATAAGGTTGTTACAAACTGGGCCTGATTTCTGGACTCAGTGTCTCAGCTGTCCTAGTGGCCACAGTGGTGTGTTGGACTCCACACTGCAGTCATCTTTCCATCGTCTGAGCAGCTCATACCCATTGTGACAACGATCGTATCCCCTCGCAATAGTTTTATGCAATATCATTGGACGATGCTCAGTGCGGCGTTGCTTCTCCCGTGCTTTAGCGTGCATGTTGCAGACCTCGTCTGACCTGGATCTGTGGCTTGTCAGCATAGGTACACTGGTTCTAGTCATTTCATCTGATAAATGAAGGGCTGAGCTTGCTATTCTCTCCAACCAGGCAGAGTTTCTCAATATACGGGGTGTAACTGCTTCTTGGCCACTATTTTGGGGTGCGCCCTCGGAGGATGTGTGTAATGCTGTTAAGGGGGAATCCTCCTCTAATTTGCCCAGTGTACAAGTTTAACTTGCCTTCTTCTTCCATTTGTTCTTCTGTGTTTGGTTTGGCAATTGGCGAGTTATTTTGCTTGTTGATTTTACCAAATCCAGTATTTCCTGACACACACAATAATGATCGGCAGCCGATTTCAGATTGGGACATCGTGCTGGATCATATGCTTCCATGAATTTAGAAGCGATTGACGGAGGAAGAAAAATGGATCATATGCATTATATTTTTTGTTTTTGAAGTAGATAATACAAGCACTGGTGCAAAACCTTGTGGCACTACATGCATGCACATTCTCACCCCTAGTGAGTATTAAAATCTGCCCTGTGAATCCACCGCTCCCTGTGTACTGAGCCCATAAGTGTTCAATTGACTACATTAAATCATATCTTGGTGTAAATATGAAATATTTTAAAAGCCAGTCAGAAATATTTTATGGGTTGGGAGAAGCTTGTTTTGACATTTCATTGGAACATGTGGCTCAGATCTGTCTGAAACATGTCCTTGTTTTGCGGATGACAGAACAGCATCTTGTCGACGAGCAGCCGCAGGACTTCCCCCCAGACCGAGAGAGCAACACTGGGGCCGGGCATCCACAACGGCAAGGACAGGTAAGCTCCCACGGCCCCTACACACAGCCTTGTCAGCCCAGAGCGAGAGGCACGGACACCAGCCGTGTTCCTGGAGCTCTGCCCCCTCCTCCACCCGAACCCCATTCACTCAAGGCAGGCGGTACAACTTTGATAGAGCCATCCAATATCAAAGTGCCAGAGCTTTCCCTCACTGCTTCTTGTGCATATGCTTCAGCGCTTCAGTTTAAAGAAGACAGTAATCTCATGGTCTATCAAAAATAAAATTAAAATATTACATACTATCCCTTCAAAGACATATGTGTCCTGGAGTGGGTTTTGGCTTCTTCACAGATCAGACAGATTCAGCACAGGGCTGTCTGTCACGTCATGTGTGGATCCAATGTATCTCTTCTCAGCATCTCATACATTCCTACATCAACATTTATGCTTTTTCTATTTATCTTTTATATACGAACATTACTTGGAGATCCAAAACATGCCAAAGAGATTCAAGCTGATTTTCCACAAATGAGTCCAGAAGGTAGGTGGGGAAAGAGAGTTGGTGAAAATAGACCTCTCATGGTATGTCTCCTTTAAACTGAAGCATAACTGGGATGAACATGCTCATTGAAACCATTATTTGACCAGTGCTAACTTTGCTCCATTCGCCTTCCCCCTCCCCTGCGCTTCACTCGTTACCATAGCGTGGATTATAGTGCTGGAGCGTTCCTGTGTTGCCTTGCCAACCTGGGTCATTAACAGAGAATTGAGGAAGCGCACACTCTTCCGATTGAATCTCTGGTGCGTCTGCGTCCTGACATGCAGCGTGATCACATTATCTTTGTGACCAGAACAAATGCAGTATTTCACAGCTTCACACGTTATACCCAAACATCAAATTCATTTCACAGCATTTATCCTGAATTTTATAGTCACGCGATAAAGTTGCATACTTTCTCTCTCTATGTAATTGTTTATCATGATTTATCGTGATAATAAAGTGTCATTTTAGTCTTAGTGTTAAATCTATTATTTAGTTTTACCCAATAAAGATTACATTGACTAAAGCAATGTCAAACTTATTTTAGTCAACAAAATAAACCGATTACAACACCTAGCATGCTGACTTTTAAGACAAAGGGACTCACAGGTAACGATTTGAAGTTCTAACTAGGACAGGTGTTGGGATTAATAAAACCATTGAAATTGAAATCATCAACACAGATCAGAGAATTCCCTGAGTAAAAGTCCTTAGGCATGTTGCTGCGGCTGCTGTATCAGACTGTTGTGGTGAAGAGGGCTCTGGAAGCTGTGGCTTGGTAGTAAATGTGCATCCCACCGCTACTAAAACATAAACTCCATAAACTGCTATGACAAGAGCCCTATTCACATTTAGATAAGCCTTATACTGTATATTGCCATTTGGGCTATTTCTGGCCTGTTCACATAAACCTACCGGAAAGCAGGAATGTGTGCTGCGTCATCAGCTCCGGAGCTTATTCACAGCTGAAACAACTTTATCTTAATCCCTGAGGAGCTCGTCTCTGCGCTGCACAGAAGGCCGCTTTAACACAGTCAAAACTTACGTACATTAGCCTCATTGCTGCGAAAAGCAAGTCAACAGTAGCGACTTATCGTCCAACAATTAGATTATACGCATTATGTAATTTAGGATTTCCGTTTTGACAACAAAAGAGCCCCTCCCTCCCCCACCCTCCTCCCATTACTGTGTGTAACATGTACTGCTGCTAACCATGCTCTCCCTGCCTTCGCCGCGCTCTCACCTGCTCCATGTGCATCTGTGTGTGTTCATCCATGTGTGTGTGCGTGTGCCGGGCGCTCCCCTCCCCCTCCCTCAGCCTGAACACCCCAGGGTCCCGTGCGTCCACTGCCTCTGCCACAGCCGTGCTCTCCTCATCGTCCTCGCGCCCCCGACACCACAAGTCCTACTCATCCTCCAACCACCCTTGTCCCTCAGACCTGCACGCACCCCGGTCCAGGCAAGTCCTCATTCTCCTCATCATCCTCATCATCACCCTGGGCTCTAGAACACTAACCAATGACTGGACCTGTGTTCGCTTCACTTCGGACAATCTCTCACTTTCAGGGCTTTTGAGCTGGTTACTTCATCAGGGGTGTTCAAACTGGTCCAGAAAGGGTTTATGTCATACCCAACACCAGAGAAAAGCAGACTCAACCTGAAGATTTGAGGAAATGTGTGGACTCTGCTCTGCTCCTTCTGGGTCTGATAGAAAACCTGCAGCCACAGCGGCCCTTTCTGGACCGGTTTGGACACCCCTGTGCTACATCATCAGTTGGTTTAGCGCCATTCATGCAAAACTCTCCTTGAAAGTAGATTACAATCTCAGCGATCTTCTTCTGCTTAATTTATTGTTTTGTTTTTTTTACAGATGAAATACTTTTATCTCTGTTGCCTTTAGAAGTTTCCTGATAATTGATAAAAATTCAAATGTTAACTGAACAATAAGTAGAGAGCACCAAAGTGTAATATAATTTTAGTGGAGTTACAGTTCTATGGTGGCCTCAAAGGTTCAATAAGAGAATATTGGTCACTAAACGGTGTCACGAACTCCCAGGAGCTCACCAGAGGTCAGGGATGAAGTGGTCTTGTTTAAAGCAGGGATTCTTAACCTTTTTGACCTTGTGGCCCAATGTTCATAGGAGAAGGCCAACACGGTGCTTAAGGCAAGTGAGCACTGAGCGCAACGGTACCTACAGCAGCAGTAAGGTCTAATAATCATTACAAGACTGAAGAGTTTTTATTATCGAGGCATTTTGGACCCTCACAAGTGCAGAGTCACGCTGTGTCTTGCTCAAAATCCAGACTGAAACTGTCTGCGATGGTGTGTACAGCTGGATTACTATGGATCTATGTTAGGATGATTTATTTGACTAGTACAGAGCAGTCTCCGTATCACTGTAAGAACCTCAATGGCGTTTTACCTGCATTCCTTATTTCCCACTGAAGCCGCTCTGGTTATGTGAGCAGTTCCTTAGCAACAGTATCGTGGGAGAAGGAGTTTGCGGAGGCTCTTTTTGCAGTCACTTGAGTACTTTGATTACCCAGCGCTCGCATACACCACCAGAACAGCCTGTGAATGATGTTTGGCCCGTTACCTGGAGACCGAGCAGTTGGCCTGTGCACTTCCTGGTTTACACGACTTATTTACACAGGCCAAAGAGGAGCAGCAGGTTCAACCAGACAGGATGACGTCACTCACACACACACGCACACACAGCCAGCCAAACGTGTACCTTTGATAGCCTTTTTCTTTTCTTTACAAGATCTTAATAATGAGGTGGTGACCCAAAGTGTGGTCTGTCTTTCACAACTCGTGCGTTTTCTTATTTGGATTTACAATGATGCTGTGGTTCTTTTATTTCTGAACAATCAAAACAGGAAGGAAGTCACAAAGCCTTCCCATCCTCAATATCACGGTCAATAAAGGTCACCATTTCATTGCTCTCCTTTCATATCATGTGAATGACTTTGAACAAGGGAATGATAATGATTAAGCCGCATCTAGGTGCTGGAGCTTTATTTTCCTGTTCCACTTCTCTACTCGGGTCACTCGCTTTTTTAGACCAGTGAAAAGAACCTCGAGCTCTGTCTCATATTGGTTTTTAGACCGAGGTACAGTAGTCAGGATAACCAAATAACAGAGCGATGCCATGCTTAAAAAAAGATAGAAACATGTGAACAATATCGTTTTTCTATAAAGCTGCACTTGTATTCAAATCAATGGGGTTTTTTACCTAAATTTTTATTCAGTAATTGCGTTTATTATCACTGCAGCAGCCAATCAGCTCTCAATCAGACACCTATAGTGACTCGCATGGTTTTTCATTATAACTCTCCCATAGTTTTAATGTATTTTGTGAAAGAAAACCATTGAAAGTTATACTATATTTTCTTATTCGCAAAATGTAGCCACTAATGATTTACTAAGTGCACACGCAGGCTCCTGTTTCCTCTTCCATCGCTGCTTCTCATGTGCCTCCGAACGCTCTGATACACGTGTAAAAACAAGTGTGAGTTTGCCTGTTTGTAGCAGATGCATGCTCCTGAATGTGTGTGCGTGGGTATGCTGACCCTCACGCTGAACCATGTGCCTCTTGTGTCTCTGCGCTGGTGCTTTGCTGTGAGCTGTGCACTTTCAGGGGACACTTGGATCACTGGTGTTAGGAACTATCAGCAGCTCTCAGCACCGTGCCACGGCCTACAGTCAAATCACTTCTCCTCACGTGCTTATGCAAACACGGGCGCTGCTCACGGCCGCTTTGACAGGGCATTTAACTTCCTCCTCGAGAGAGAGAGTGGCAAACGGAATCAGCTGAGTCTGAGGCGGCGAGGGAGTCACAGCGAGTCACATTCATACAGATATAGCACGTGCATGGACGAGACAAATGTGAGAGTTTCCAAAAGTAGCATACAGTACATTTTCAACACATTTAACCAAGCCATTGATTATATGAGATTATATGAGTACGGCTTAAACTTTTGAACATTTAGTCATGTCTACAACCATAAACATACACATTTTATTTAGATTTTTTTTACTGAAAGCTCACACATAGTTAAAAGACAACTGTGAAGTAAAAGCAAAACGTTACATGATTTTGTTATTTTTAATTTTATCTGGTATCCGCAGCTGCAGCAGAGTGTCCTGTATTTTACTTTATCCTTCCCATCAACTCTGTCCCTGCTGAGGAAATGTGACACTGCCACCCCCATATTTGACACTGGGGATGGGGCACTGAGGGAGATGTTGTGAGCCATAAGCCGCGTTTCCACCGCAGGAACTTCAGGATAATTTTCAAGGGCCAGCCCCGTCGGTGCGTGTCTCCACTGCAGGAACTTTTACGGGGCCCAACAGTGTCCTTCCTCTATGGTATGTACTCGGTTGGATCCTGCTGGGACTTGAGGTTAACCCTGTGCTGATTGGCTAAAGCTAGCGCAGGCTCTGACGTCAGCAGAAAGCAGCAAAACAACCGGCATTATCGCAGCAGCATTAGCCTAGCAGCATTAGCCTAGCAGACACCACTGGAAACAGCGAACAACAGCACGGTGATTCAGACGGGGTTTGAGGCATCACGGCAAAAAGAAAAGATATATTTAGAAATATCAGCTTCATTTCGAAGCACTGGGGACTCATAACACTCCAAGACAAGCCGTGAAAAGTTTTTAAAAACTGAAGCAGGACTATAAAAAAACTCAAGACCACAACAACTGGAGCGGTCACGAACGTAAAATAAACAAATGGGTTTGGCGCATGACTCTATAATACTAACGGGTTTGGTGTTATGAGTTTCGCTTAGGCAGCAATTGAAACTCATGATGTCGCTGAGTGGTCCTACTGCAGCAGAGACACGGACACTGCGAGGACCGAGGGAGAGGAAGGTTCCTGTAAAAGTGCCATCCCGCTCTTTTTACCAGGAACTACTGCGGTGGAAACGCGGCTAATACATAACTTTTTTTTTTTTTTACTTGGTGATTCAGATTCAGATTCATTTATTTGCCATTTGCAGTAAAACCACATAGGAAAAACGTTTTGCTTTTGTGTCAAAGAGTTAAATGTTAGTCTCATGTGAGCACAGCACCTTCTTCCACATGTTTAATGCGTCCCCACTTTGCTTCTTGTGGCTGACGTCAGAAGCAAAGTGCCACTGACTTCATTTCTATTCCTCACTGGTCCTTAAAGCACAGATGTGTGACGCAAATTACACTTCTGTGCTTTTTTCTATCTTGTTTAGTTCAGCACTTCAAGTTTCCTTATGTATGAATTGTGCTGTACAAATAAACTTGCCTTGTCCTGGTTGGAGCAGTGAGTTTGGACATAGTTTGCAGTTGTGCCGCACTCTTTCCATTTAAAAATATTATGAACAGTGCTCTGAGAGAAAGCAGGAAGTGTTTGTATGACTTAGCCCTGCTTCAAACTCCTCCACAACTGTGTCCCTCTCCTCTCTGTGCTCCTCTCTGTGCTCCTCTCTCTGTGCTCCTCTCTTTGTGCTCCTCTCTCTGTGCTCCTCTCTGTGCTCCTCTCTCTGTACTCCTCTCTCTGCTCCTCTCTCTGCTCCTCTCTGTGCTCCTCTCTCTGTGCTCCTCTCTCTGTGCTCCTCTCTGTGCTCCTCTCTCTGTGCTCCTCTCTCTGTGCTCCTCTCTCTGTACTCCTCTCTCTGTGCTCCTCTCTGTACTCCTCTCTCTGTAGTCCTCTCTGTGCTCCTCTCTCTGTACTCCTCTCTCTGTGCTCCTCTCTCTGTGCTCCTCTCTCTGTACTCCTCTCTGTGCTCCTCTCTCTGTACTCCTCTCTCTGTGCTCCTCTCTCTGTACTCCTCTCTGTGCTCCTCTCTCTGTGCTCCTCTCTCTGTCCTCCTCTCTGTGCTCCTCTCTGTACTCCTCTCTGTACTCCTCTCTATGTGCTCCTCTCTGTGCTCCTCTCTGTACTCCTCTCTATGTGCTCCTCTCTGTACTCCTCTCTCTGTGCTCCTCTCTGTGCTCCTCTCTCTGTGCTCCTTTCTCTGTACTCCTCTCTCTGTGCTCCTCTCTCTGTCCTCCTCTCTGTCCTCTCTGTGCTCCTCTCTGTACTCTTCTCTCTGTGCTCCTCTCTGTGCTCCTCTCTGTACTCCTCTCTATGTGCTCCTCTCTGTACTCCTCTCTATGTGCTCCTCTCTGTACTCCTCTCTCTGTGCTCCTCTCTCTGTGCTCCTCTCTGTGCTCCTCTCTCTGTGCTCCTTTCTCTGTACTCCTCTCTCTGTGCTCCTCTCTCTGTCCTCCTCTCTGTCCTCTCTGTGCTCCTCTCTGTGCTCCTCTCTGTACGCCTCTCTCTGTGCTCCTCTCTGTGCTCCTCTCTCTGTGCTCCTTTCTCTGTACTCTTCTCTCTGTGCTCCTCTCTCTGTACTCTTCTCTCTGTGCTCCTCTCTCTGTGCTCCTCTCTCTGTACTCCTCTCTGTGCTCCTCTCTGTGCACCTCTCTGTACGC